TTGCAGCCATTTGCTAAAATCATTTAAGTTATTTTTTTTTTCCTCATTAATGTACACACATCACCCCATATTGACAGAAAAACACAGAATTGTTTACATTTTTGCAGATTTATTAAAAAAGAAAAACTGAAATATCACATGTTCCTAAGTATTCAGACCCTTTGCTGTGACACTCATATATTTAACTCAGGTGCTGTCCATTTCTTCTGATCATCCTTGAGATGGTTCTACACCTTCATTTGAGTCCAGCTGTGTTTGATTATACTGATTGGACTTGATTAGGAAAGCCACACACCTGTCTATAGCTGTGTCTCATTTAGAAGGCTGCACCCTCCGAGGTCGCATTCGAAGGCTGCATACGTCATCGAGGCTGTCTCATTTCAGAAATGCAAGTAGGACACTCCGAATGCGACCTTCGAATGTGACCTTCTTTCACAGGAATTCGGAGGATGCATGAGGTGTATCCTTCGCTGCTACAGATAACCCACAATTCTTTGCGTCGCCGTGAACAACCGTTGTTAATTTGAAAAATGCCGGCGCCGGCAGATGTAACGTACACACAAGCGCAGATGTGGTGTTTACAACTTACCTTAATTCGCCTCGGTAAAAACGGATAAACTTTGTTTTTAATATCCTCCTCCTTTTTTCTCTAATAGATGCCTGCTGTAGGTACGCTGCAGCTCCTCAAGCATTGAACAAAATAAAACAAGTAAAAGCATTTTTATTTTCAAATTACTTTCCAAATTTAGAAATAATTTCCTTCATTTAAGTAGTGTGAGAGCGCAACGATGCTCTAAATGTGTTGGCATAGCAACGTGATACTTCCGGTTTCCTTTTCCGCCCGTCCTACGAAGGCCATCTCGTTTAATTCTAGGTTGAGGACACTTCGTATATGCATCCTACAGAGGATGCGACCTCCAGAGGATTCGACCTCCGGAGGGTGCAGCCTTCTAAATGAGACACAGCTATAGTTGAGTATCATCAGCATAACAGTGGAAACTAATCCCATATTTTCTAATAATATTACCAAGGGGCAACATGTATATCGAAAATAGCAGAGGACTTAGGACAGATCCTTGTGGCACTCCATATTTTACTGGTGATAATTGAGATGACTACCCATTTAAATGAATAAAATAGTAGCGATCGGACAGGTAGGATCTAACCCATCTTAAAGCCTGCCCTTGAATACCTGTATAGTTTTGTAATCGATCTATGAGTATGTCATGATCTATAGTGTCGGAATCACATGACAGAACATGACTGTGGCCAAACTACAAAAAAAAAAAGACATGAATACAATGAACAAGAAACAAACCCCACCTTACATGTCCCCCCCTCTAAGGGCGGCTCCAGACGCCCAAATAAAACCCAAACCCCACCAAGTCCAGGAGGGTGGTAGAGCAGAAGCGGAGCAGGGGGTGAGATGTTGGGTCAGGCCCATGAAGGGGAACGGGACCTGAATCATGACATGGACCATGGAACGATGGCAGACAGTGAAGCACTGGAGTACCTGGGCCGTGGAGCAGTGGCAGAGAGTGAAGTAGTGGAGGACCTGGGCCGTGAAGCAGTGACAGACAATGGAGCAGAGGTGGGCCTGGACCATGAAGCCCTGGACCTCTGCGTACTTTGCCGTGCTATGTATGCTATGTGTCACTTCAGTTGAAGTAACCTGAGGATCCTATAGCCAGAGGACCCCGCCCATTCTGGCAGGCTTTACCACCATAGGCTCGTGCAGCTCCGCTGCCGAGCCATTGGTTCATTTTTTATTCACTGCACGAACCAATGGCCGTGCAGTTACACTACGTTATTGAAAGGCTTCAGTCATCGGAGAAAAAGGAGTTGTCCCCAAGCATCTTAAACAGACGCAGTACTTGCTCCGTATCTCAGGGAACCGAGGTTACGTCAGTAACTGAGTACGTTATGATCTGTGATCATATCATTTACAAAAAGTACTTTTGTATAAAGGGATCTAATATTCATTAAGCCAAGCTTTATCATTTGTTTATCTGTATTATATCTGTTTTTTATTTATTTAACATCAATTAAATTGTTATCCTTAAATTGTTTTGGATGTTTGTTTGTTTTTTTGCATTTGCATTTGCTAGTTCGGGGAACAGACAGTATATATAGTATGATATCTAGGTGAAAGAGTATCTATGTGATGAGAATTAACTGACCGCTGTGAGGCGGCTAGCAGTCGGTTTAGAAAGCCTGTCTGCCTGGGCCCCAGTTAGTCAAGTACAAACTCTAAGACTATGTGCTATATTTCTAGAGAGAAGAGCGGCACCAGCCCTGGAGGGATGAAGACCATCTCTTTTCAACAGGTCTGGTCCATCTAATTCAATTGAAAAGAAGCCATGACTCACCGTGATTTTTTAATGATTTCCGACTTACCACAGTTGTTTGATGAACTTGTGAAAAACGGAGCGAGAGATTAAAGTAATGGAACGAGTCAGAGAGAAAAAGAAATGGTAGGAAACGCGGTAATGCTTTCATTAATAAATCATTAACATTATATAATGCTTAATGGATCATTAGTTAATATACAGTATATTCAAAGAGTTAGAAATGTGAGATAATCTGCTTGTTAATGTTTGCTTATTAAACATTAGATAATGTTCAAACAAATCATTATTTCATGTAAGTTAAAATGATTACAAATGTCATTAAACTTTCAATTCCATATGATCAAGCACTTATTGAAAATCAACAAATGATTTTAACAGATGTTATAAAATGATTTAAAGCTTTTGTTAATGCACAAAACAGGTTTGGTGGTATTATTAACACATTTGAACACTGTCTTATCAGAAAAAAATGGTGTTATGATATACAGTGAAATTGATTTGTTTAGCAAATAACTTATCTGCAGTGAGATCAAATTATTTATTTTTGTACATGCAAAATAAAACAAAATAAAAGGGTTGCAAAACTACTATTGCTACTTTAATCTTTCTTTGCAATATTTGTGATATTCACTATGTATAAAAGGTCAAATTTTATTGGGCCATTAAAGCAAAAGGGAGATTTCATTTTTGCACATTTTCAAAAATGTAGTGCTTATAATATGTTGTAATGAAAAAATATATATTATATAATGCTACAAATGTGGGTTTGGATAGACAGTCAGCATGACATCAAACATACAAGAGTGACAATCCAAACCTCACAAATATATCCTATCCATTGATTACTTGGTTACGTTATGAAAGTTTTGAAAATGTTCTTTATTACATGTTAAAAGGAAGCATACTTAGGTATAAATGCTTGCATGTAAACAACAACTGTATAAATGTTCAAATTAATATTTTTATTGTCATAAATCACAGTAGTGTTATGGTGTGAAATGAACCCCAGAATGTATCTTCTTTCTCTATATGTTTCTTTAAGACTTTGGTAACATAACAGTGAAGAATCAAAGCCACTAACAGTTTAAGAGTTCACTTCCAGGCTGACGGTTTTTATAGATTACTGCCTCAATATTTTGACCATGAGCAACAAATTTAACCACATACATGGAAGTTCCTATATAAACTAGTTTACAAGGTAAGTAGATAGGGAATGCTTGCTAAAATGTCCAAAAAAAATTTAGATATTTGGCAGATAAATATAAGTGTGTTTTAAAAACACAAGCATCCTCCGACTAAAGTGAACTGCAATTCCCTTCGATGGATTGACTTTAAATGCATCTTTGTTTTGGTCTAAGTCCTACTAATGGTCTGGGTGTAATTCTGAATAGATGTTTGAAAGTATGCGGCAGTGTTCTTTTGCGGCTGGAATAATATGATGTAAGATTTTGTTATGAAATAACTGAAGAGAATTCCATTTATACTAGATATCTGGGCCATTGCATTTAGAAGCATGATGTACTTGCTTTTGACAGAGAGGTATGCTGTGAAATATACAATCCAGCTCAGATAGTACAAAATTAGACTGAAGGTTATTGATTTGGCCTCGTTGTAATTTTTCGGCAGATCTCTTCCCATGTAAGAAAATATAAGACACAGGAGACCAAGAAACCAACTTATAAACACGACTATGGTAAAGGTTATAGCGTTCCCCATTTCACACATGAGCATAATTTGGTCTTTAAAAGTCCATGAGTCAGCAATGGGTTTGTCAGGAGAGACAGTCATCCATATCACACAAGAAATGAAATGAATGAAAGAAGAAAATGCAATGAAGAGCCACTGTCCATTGTGCTTTACCCAAAGGCTGTGCAGCTTAGGGAACTGAGCAGCCATTTTAAAAACACAAATAATTTGAAAGGAACGGACAGTCAAACAGGAAATACAGATAGTGAAGAAAAATGCAAATATGGCATTTCTCAGGAGGCAAAATACAAATGTGGGTTTTCCAAAGAAAAAGAACACACTTATACTAGACATAATCAAACACATTAACATAAGGAGACACATGCTGCCACCAGCAGACTTTACCACTGGTGTGTTGAAGTTGTAGGCAAAAAGGCAAAGTATAGCAATAAGGAGAATAATTAGGCATGTGGCAGAAAGCATGACAATGATGGAGGAAATTTCTGCAAACTCAAGATAGACAACAATACGTGTCTTACATGCTGTGCTGCCCTCATCAGACCATTCGCTCTCTAAACATGGAAAACAGGTATAGGGGTCCCCTGAAAAAAATTAAAATAATATGGATGTTAAGTAATGCCTTTTTACCAAAAGCCATAATAATAGTACATAAATGTGGGAAAATATTTTGTTTTCACATTTCAAAAAGTACCCTAATTCCACTAAAGTACTGGTGATGGACTGAAGATGCTTAAAGGGGTGGTTGATTGCGATTTCAATTTTTTTACGTTAGTTAGTGTGTAATGTTGCTGTTTGAGCATAAACAATATATGCAAAGTTACAAAGCTGAAAGTTCAATGCAAACAGAGTAATCAGCTTTTTAAAATTCTGGCAGTTTAATGCCTACAAAAAAGGCTGGTAGGGACTACAAAAAGTTATTTCCCGGGTTCGTGACATAACAAACCTAGATAAACCCCGCCCTCAGGCAAGGCGGGCATTATGAGAAGCATTCAACATGGACGTGCGTGCAGTTGACATACTAAATTAAAGCTTTAATCAGGATAAAAACGTATATTAAAAGCTAACATAAGCAGTATCATTTACAAAAAACAGCATATCTAAAAGTATGAGACAACAACAAACAAAAAACATAGGCCTACCATTAAAAGACGTGCTTGCACAGGTTCTGCACAATCCTCTTCAATAATATTCTCTGTGTCTCAATCAGGCTCAAATTGATAAGCGATATTAACGATGTTGTTGTTTATGATACAACCGGAGCACATGCCACTGAGGTGAGGGGCGCGACATTTAGACACGCACTAGAGGTGGTTTAGCCAATCACAACACACGGGGCTAGCTAACCAATCAGAGCCCATTGCCTATTTCTGAGGGAGGAGCTTCATAAAAGCAGGAAATGATCAGTGCGTTTCTCAGAGAAAGGACAGAGCGGTGTGGAATCAAGGTAAATTATGTGAAAAATAATGCGTTTTTAAAAAAATGAATCATTAACACATGTTAGACTGCACCCCATAAACACAATCAAGCCTAGAAAAAAAAACAGTGAGCCACCCTTTTAAATACCAAGGTGCCATTGAATGCCGTACTTACGAGAATAATCCACATAGCTGTTACGTGGGCATTTTTTACAGGTAAAACAGCAGCTATGAAAACCTTCAGGTTTCCTTGAATATCCCGGCTTACACTCAACAGAGCAGTTTGAGAAAGGAACCTTTGAGGAATGTAAAATATGTTATTAAAGTTTTTGTAACTAAAATCAGTGTTCTCAAACAATTAACACAGCCTGAACACTATGTAATTTCCATAAATGGACTGAAAATTACAAAATACAAATTAAATAATTCCCTTAAACACTACACACAAATTTTTCAGATCTGCTATAAAATCAGTTAACAGACAACTAAACTAAAGCCATCTTCATTATTCCACTGGCATCAAATTGATATCCCATGCATTAGTAAGGACTTTACTTTGCATTTGCTTTGCATGAAAGGGATCATCTGAGAAACTAAAGAGCAAATATAATAAATGAGAGACAAAGGCAGAGAATGAGAATAAGTGGAGTGAGTTGAGGAAGAGTAAAGGGAATTGACAGAAAGGTAAGACTTTATTTTAAGAACCAATTCACACTATTAGCTTATTAACATCAATATTACTAGCATATTGGCTGTTTATTAGTACTTATAAAGAATATAATGCCTTATTCTGCATTACCATATTTTAAAACCTTTAATCCTACCCCATACGGAAACTTAACAACTACCTCACTAATTATTAATAAGCAGCAAATTAGGAGTTTACTGAGGCAAAAGTCGCAGTTAATAGTTAGTCAATAGTGAGAATTGGTCCCTAAATTAAAGTGTGACTGAAGGAATCTGAAAGGGAAGATTTCCCCCTACACTTTCAAGGCTGAGCACTGAAAGTATTGAGGAAAGATGAGGCACCCTCTAAAAGATGAATCATGGTCTCTTCCTGGGTTCTATTCTACCTATAGTCAATCTCTGCAAAAAAATGGTCAGTCTGCCACAGTGTGTCGCTGGTCAACAATGACCAAATAACACCATCTGTTTTGTTTGTCATTCTGTGCTTTTTTGATAATAAACAGTAATAAAAATGAATTGCAATGTTTTCTTGGGTTTACGCCAATGTCCAATTCCATCATGCAGTGTTGGTTAGAAAATCACCTACATTTTATGATGATGTTGCTTCCACCATATTCTCCATTTCTTAATCCATTTGTGAGATTTCTCCTCCTGAGACAGAATGTGTTCGACCACAAACTTTATGAAAAAGTTACTCTTCTCCAAGCAACAGAAGAGGCCTGCAGAAATATTGAGGCATATGCATGCCAGGCATGAATTCCAAGTGAATTCACCCCATCCTTTCTTTAGGTCCACAGCTCAAGACAAACACATGGAGGAAAAAAAACTTCTCCATTGTGTCAACTTAATGATAAATTGACTTTTTCCATATTATACTTATGTATGAACAGTAATCAGCTGATAACATTTTGACATCAGTATTTGCTTTCTGTGTTCGCTGAAAATTTAGCATGAATCGTTTTGCTAGATGGCTGTGTTAATTGTTTTGAGAGTATTGTCATTTGTAGAAATATGTCAAACAGGTTGAGAAAAGCTGTAATCTACAAAGGTAAATGTTTAGATAAAAGCTCACCAAAAATAAATGAATGCAACTTACAGAATCATTGTTAAGCCAGGGCAAGAGAGAGTTGTCAATGGTAAAAGTAGTTTCTGGATATGTATCATACGTGCCCACCATCTCAAACTGTGGAGGATTCACATCAGTGTGCCAGTGCACAACTGCATAACTGATGGTTGGATCATAATTTTCATCGTATTTCACCTGGCGGCCATTGAGTGGAAAATCTAACTTCTTCATTTCTCCCATAAGCTGTTGTGAAGTGTGTTCAAATAAAAAAAAAAAATAATAATAATAATAATAATATAAGACTATAACATGAATAAAATTAATATTATTTATTTATTTTTCTAATACTTACATAATAGCATAAATGATAATTCAATATAATTTATAATATGCCATTTGCTTAATATATAAACAATGTTGTTAATTATTTCATTAATTAAAACATTGCGATATCTTTTCATTAATTAAAATGAATTCACTTACCATGTATGGCTTGGCCTTTGGGTTTTTGTGGCATTCATTCATATCACACTGCAGAACGTTATGTAATGCGTGAGCTATGGTATATATGGCAGCGTAGATGGCGAAGGAAAATGAGGGATTTTCGTTTATAATCTCCTCGGCGGTCAACAATGGGCAGTAATCACAAACTTGATTGCATGTCTTATTCTTACTCTGGACATTACTCTCAGTGCTATATCCATTAATTGTTCTCCTGTCTTTATAGATGAATTGATCAAATCCTGGTAATGACAACAATCTCTCCGTAATGCCAATGACTGTTCCAATTTTCCCAATTCCCGGCTCTCTAGGAAGCTGTTGATTCATAGCCCAAGTTTCACTCGCAATCCATACTTTGTCTCGGATATTCTCCGCTATGGCTGTTTTGATTATGTTGACTGCATATTGTGGTACAGCGAAAACAACAATGACATTGATGTTGAGCATATCAATCTTTTTAAGCGTTTGACTGTAGTTTGCATTTAAGCTCAGACCCTCTTGATAGGCCAAACAAATGCCAGTATTGCTTATATACTTGTTAAACAGCTTTAGTCCATCTGAACTGTAACTGTCTTGGCTACCAAGAAAGGCAACCCAGTTCCATCCAAACCACCGTATGATGTGAATAATCATCTCTATCATGTCTTTGTTGCTAGGGACTGTTCTTATAAAGGAAGGATACTGAATTTTATTGCTTAATGCATAGCTAGAAGCTCCATAATTCACCTTTGAAAGAAAAGAAAGCATTGTATTATAAACAATTAATTTAGCATTACATAGTAACTTGGTATTTCAGAATAGTAGGAAATAAGTGTTTAAGTACTTTGTTTTGTAAAAATACATTAAATTTACCAATGGTATAAGGCCCATTGTGATTAATGGTGCAATAGTAATAGTTCTTGTGCTTCCATATGGCCCTGTTAAAGCAATCACTTTAGGCTGATAGTTGTTGAGCTTTTCTTTGGGTTTTATTGAGCCATTCTTTGAGACAAAACTTAAGATTGAAAGGAAATTCTTTGTATTAGAACAATGGTCAAAAATGTCATAGCCCAGAGAAATATTGGGCAGAAGAGTTGTAGAGTTATTAATCTCCTCAACAGCAAACCTCATCACTTGCAACATCTGATAACCAGATGCGGAGGTACTGTGCCTAAAAAAGAGCAATGAGGAAGTTAATAGCATGTAATTGAATATTGAGTTCAGAAATATGAAATGCTTCTTTGATTTAAAATACTGCATAGCAATAATCCTACACTGGTAAAAGGTCTTTGCTTACCTGAAACATTCAGTGGTCTCTGGGGTGAAAATCGATGTCACTTGGTCAATTTCATGTAAAGCAAAAAGGCCACCCAATAAATAATCTCCCTCCAAGCTGAAGTCAGACGTTGAATGTGGCCAAGAAATTTTGGAAAAGGAACAATTAATAAAGCACAAAAGGAAAACGCAAATTCTACTGAGAAGCATGGTTTAAGATAGACCGTTGGTCATGAAACAGGGATGTACAGTGGCTAGCCGTATGATGAGAGAAGTGAGACTCATATAGTACTCTTAATTTGTTTAAAACACATTTCTATTTGCTTAAACCACTTTATTCACCGATTCAAATGCCTATTTCCATATCTAAACTCACAAAGCATATGTCAATCAGTTATTAAATAGAGCATTACACCACAAACATCTCCTTGTATGAGATTTTATGGAGTTAAGGCGGTTACATCACATTTTGAGTATTAAAAAAACACTTTAATGCACTCCCTGAGGGCTGAAAATGCTGAATACATGAATTCAAAGATTTCCAATGGACTAGAGAAAAATATCAACGTGATCTGTTGTTTTACAAAATCCAAATGAATCCTATGGAAACAGTGACCTTAAAAAAGGAAGGTTATTCGCATATATTTTTACATTTACATTAAATTTGCTTAATCCAGTTCCTGCATCTATTTAAATGATTTTGCATATCTGGCAATAATATAGATATGTCATCCAACAAGTGTCACATTACACAACCAATGTCACTTATGACTGACATAGATTTCTAAGGATATTCTGCACAGGGACCAGATTTTCCATAATGTATTATATTGCAGTGTTTCATCATATAGGCACTATGAATGCAAATTGATAGCTTATAAATAACATTAACTTTCTAGGAAGTCTATGAGTATGAAAATAGTCATATCTCTCCTAATATATTTATTTCACTTGCACATTTTTAATGCGCTATTGCAACAAAGAAAAAAAATTGCTTTTAACAGAAAATAAGTAATTTATGGCATCAGTAAGTAAACGAACGAACGAACAAATGAGGATAGCCCAGTGCTTTATTTGTCATTTGTGCCATGAAATAAAAGTGTTTAAAGGTGATTTCATTACTTATAATAGTTTGGTGCTTCTTTTAAAAACTTTTACACAATAATAAATAAATTGTGTTTTTGTCAAGAGTCATCTGAATGGTGTACACTCACATCAGACTGTACTTATAATAGTTTTCTATACAAAGTAAGTCACACTTTATATTAGGTGTCTTTAATAAAAATGTACTTATGTTAAAAATGGATTGTTAGGTACAATGTATTTGTTGTGTTTTTGAATTGCAAAACACACTTGCTGCAGATGTGGGATACAGTTAAAAATAGGGCAGGTTTTGTGGTATAGTTAGGTAAGAGTGGTTTAAGGGCTAGGGTCAACAATGTAATTTTAAAATAGACATAATTACAGCTATTAAAGGGGTCCTATTATGCCCTTTTTACAAGATGTACATAATTAGGTGTCCTCAGAATGTGCCTATAAATTTTCAGCTCAAAATACACCAAGAACATTTAATATGTCATGCTGTAAATATCTCTTTTTAGGTGACTCTTTAAATGCAAATAAGCTGCTGCTTCTGCCCCTTTCCAGAGGAGGGCTGTGGCTTTACGGCTAGTGCCTTGGTTACCTGCTATGGAACAACAAATAAAACATCTGTTTGTTTTTGATTATCACTTTAATGCTCCTATATATGATTTTTTTGAGCGCAGACAAGAACACACATAAGCACATAAAGTCAGCTCTTGCCCGTCAAGTGTCAAATACACAGAATGTTGTGTCAAAAACACACAAAGTTCACAAACATAATTGGTTATGTCTGCGAATGTGTTATGTCGACGAACAGCTGCATGTGTGTCAGTACATTAGATCTGTCTCTTGGGCATGGTGACAACACATTAATAAGGCAACTTGACCAGGTCTCTTCCCCTCATTTTTTTTTTTTTTTGCATATTCATTGGCCATGAATTATTTAAATGAGGGATATTATGACACGTGTGTTCTTGGAAGATAATTCAGGACTACAATCGAGGCATTTGAAGGAGATTAGAAACAGTGCTTTCTGACATGGAGAATAAATCCCTTTGGAGTGGATTCTGGAGTGGACATAATAGGACCCCTTTAAAAATATAATAACATGCAGGTTTTTTTTTTTAATTAAGTACCAAGTAAAAAAATGTGTATATACACAATAAGTGTATTGTATCAAATTAATATTACAGTTTATTTTACAGTACTCATACTTACAGTGTGCACCCAAGAACATACTGGGTAGTATAAGGTAACTACATGGGTTAAGGTTAGGTTTAGGGGTAGGTTCAGGGTTGGTACCTAGTTGTTACCCATTGTAATTACTATAATAAGGACATAGTATGCTCACGTGGAACAGGACTAAAATAAAGTGCTACCAAATTAATAATTTTAATATTTTTACATAGTAGTTAAAGACATTTATAAAGTGTGAATAATAATAAAGTCAAGGTTAGTATTAGGGGTTAGAGTTGGGTTATGTGGTAAGGGTTGGGTAGCAGTTAGGGGGTAAAATTAACAGTGTAACTACAAATGTTAATTAAATGCAAGTACTCTACATGTAATTACAATGCACCAATATGTATGCACATAATTATTTTTTTAAATTGGTCTGGTTCTATTTTCATAAGTAAGGTGTGCATTTTAAAAACTCTATACTTGTCATTCCTGTGTTCCCTTTCAGTTGGTCACTCTCGACGTCACGACGGAGGACCGACGAATTGGGATCTCGCTTAGAGGGACCAATCTACTTCGAGTGTAAACTAAACGAGCCAATGCACATTGGCATGCGATTATTGCATCCAGCTCCTGCTGATCACAGCGTGAGTATAAGTAGGCAGCAGGTGCAGCGCATATTCAGCTTTTCGCTTCGGAGCCGAGTGATCACATCGTGATTTCTACTCTACTGAGAGAAAAGACTGAATGAGTTCAGCGCGCTCTTGGAGAGCTCTTCGTGTTGGTGGATGGCGCTTCAGCGGTGGTGGTTTCCCGTGTCGAGTGGGTTGCACACATCAGGCTGCACTACCCCCTGTTTGTGTTGCAGATGATCATCTCCCCTGTGTGCCTCAGCACGCTAAAAGAGCTTTTTCCCCTAAAAGAGCAATTTCGGGTGCGTCTTTTAAAAGACGACGTTGCTTGGCAAACTTGATGTTACGTCTTTATAAAGACGATGTGGATCTTGCTATAGACAACGTATCACCCGGGCATTCTGGATGCGGTCGTTACCTGGCGCTGGGTGATGGTCACGATCGCTGCCTCTC